AAAAAAAAAAAAAAAAAAGTCCAAAAAATCCGAAAACAAGCAATGTTATGCAGAAAAATAAACTGAACAACTTTTGCCTCAGGGTCACATCAAAACTCTTTACCAAATTCAAAATAAAAAATCATTACATTTTTTTTTTTTTACTTTTTTTTACTTTTTTTTACTTTTTCTTTGGCCCGGCCAGGCAAGTGGTCCCGGGCCACTCTGGTAGCCTAGCTAGTAACGGTTTTTTTCCCCCCCTTTCTTTTTTTCTTTTTTTTTTTTTAAAGGATCAACCCCATTTATTTCTCCATACCTTTTTCAGTCCAAAAAGTCGTGAGTAGTAAGGTATCTTTTTCCCCCTTCTTTTTCTTTTTTTTTTTTTCTTTTTTTTTTTTTTTTTTTTTTTTTTTTTTTGGCTTTTTTACCCCTTCTTTATGCCTTTCAGATTTGTAGAAAATTTTCCGTCTCCATAAGTGTCCTGAGTAGTAAGCATCATGCCCCTAAATGCCTGCCGTTCCTACATAGAGCCCGCCAGTTGCATGATCTGTATTGAGGTAAGCAGGGTGTCCAGGTTCATTCTCTTGCGGATGCCATCAGTGGGCAATCGCGTCCTTCGATAAACACAACAAGTAATACATAACACTTATAAACCTCACTACGTGAAAATTTCATCAATAATTCAATTTCATAATAAAAAAATAATTTGGGAACGACGATCACCGCAGATTAATGGACCAAGCAGCTTTTTTTTCCCCCTTAATAAATATAATATAAGAATTTTTTTATTTCCAAACACACGTGTCTACGACAACCGATCCAGTTTCGCGAACTGAATTCGATGATTTTTAAATTCTTTAATTTTACTTATTTTTTGCAATGCATGAATTTGATGCGTCAAAGGAGTACACCTACATCGTCGCCGTGGGGACGTCGCACCTGACTTGCTTCATTTGATTACTTATTAAATTATGAATTAATCTTGTCATCTTTTGAGCATGTACTTGACGCTATTCTCTGTGCTTGTACTTCTCCATTTTTATTTTATTTTTTACACACCTGTAGACTACTTGTCCTCTTCCTAAATAGGAAGGTTGATCGAAATTCTCCCTTTCTTAGATCCGTACATAAGTCTTTGAATTCATACGGCTCAAATATTATTTATAAATTATATATTACTTTAAAATTGAATCTAATAAATAAAATATTTGAAAATCATATACAATAGAATCAATCATATATCATATAAATTTAATAAAATAGATTTCATATATGTATGTGATTGAAAGTGAAAATAAATCTACATAAAATAAACAAAGTCTGACGTGTATTCTATTTGATTCCTCGAACGTGTCAGCACCTCATGGCTCCGCAGTCAAGGCCCCGCGTTCTATTCGGGATCCGCAGCCAAGGCCCCGCGTGCTATTCAGGATCCGCAGTCAAGGCCCCGCGTTCTATTCGGGATCCACAAGAGACCATCAGTAAACGACAACCGTGCCTGAGCTTTCTTCCTCCCTACCCGAGAGGACACCAAGTCGGGATCCGCAGTCAAGGCCCCGCGTTCTATTCGGGAAAAGCAATGAATAAATACTTAAATCGAGACCGCATGCGTTAACAGGCCGACCGATCAGGTGCGACCAAAACGTTTTTTTTTTTTTTGGGGGGGGGCCGGGGAGCGGCGGTGTGAGTTGGAGAGAGAGAGAGAGAGAGAGAGAGGGAGAGAGAGAGAGAGAGGGAGAGAGGGAGAGAGAGAAATTAAAACAAAAGAAAAAAGCGCAAGATCGACTATAACTCCTCACTCTTACTCAGTAAAGGCTCAAGGCGAGAAAGAAGACAGCCTTGTTCTTTTTTCTTTTCTTTTTTTCTTTTTTTTTTTTTACTTTTCTTTTGTTCTTTTCTTTTGTTCTTTTTTTTTTTCCTTTTCTTTTGTTCTTTTTTTTAATTTTTTTTTCTTCTTTAAATTAAATTACAAACGGTAGGGGATGGCTGCTCCACTGCCTGCCGATCAGGAGGTCAACCCAGTGTGATACCTGTGACTGCTGTCAGCGTTCTGACATCATCATCATCATCATCATCAACCCAGTGGTCGGATCATCGGGATTTCATTCCTTTCTTTTTTAATTCCATTTTATAAGTAATAATAAATCTTTTTTCCTTTTTTTTCCCCCTACCCAGTCGCGCATTCTATGTCTGTTCTACCCCTGTCGAATTTGAAACAACTCGCGGCAGAGGGAACGACTCCAGCTTTCTTTATAATTAATTAACTTAAAAATACTGAAGTCTTTTAAGCAAGAACTTAAGAAAATGAAAGAAAGAAAGGGAAAAAAAAAAAAAAGACCGGCTCCAGTCTCAGTAGCTTGTTCGCTGCCTTGGCTCGATTTTCGAGCAGCGAGGGTATGAAAGTATTTTCCAATTTGGGAAAGCGATGTAGGGGGGGGAGGGTATATGGCCGCGCAACCCACACACCCACCGAAAAGGACGAGGGGAGCAGGACGATGGGAAGGGGGGGGGGGGAGAAGGAGGAGGAGATGAACAATTTGGACTCAGTCAAATCGTAGCTTGCGATCACGATGAAATGCCCCTTGATCTTCTCTCTCTCTCTCTCTCTCTCTCTCTCTCTCTCTCTCTCTCTCTCTCTCTC